CTACTTAAGAATTACGTAATAAACGCTCAGTTCCCAAGGGTGTTAGGGCCAACAAACTAATATGCTGGCATTGTTAGCACAGGTTATCATATACTTAATAAGAACTTAGGCTAAATATATGTAACAGTTATCTTACGTTCATAGAACTGTTAGCTATATTCATGTAAGACCAACATCTAGTTATCATGAGTTACATGGACATATTGCTATATTGCTTATATTCTTTAAAGTGTTTGGGTGTGCTCGCTCCCAGTTCATGACTGAGTCACTCTTGTTAAGAGCCTTTCTATATACAAACCTATTCTCTGTGATACCTTTTACGCTGTTACTTCAGTGCAGATTGGTCTTGATTTTTCTGTTGGCCTTTGGCTTGTACTTCTAAAATTATAAATAGTGATATTCCATGATCTACATATGTGGAGCATCACCAGGAGAATATTAATCTCAGGGATATACTCTTTTTTTTTGGATATTTTAAAATTCAGTTTTATTTTCATTTTCAAATTTTCTCCACCTTCTCACTGATTGAGGAAAGTAGGAATCACAATATCTACATATCTATAACACATATAAAGTTATTCAAAACATATTTCTACATTGGTCATGTGCCAGGAAAAAATAAAAGGAGAGAGGGAGAAAGGAGAGGAGAGGAGGGGAGAGGAGGGAGAATAATACAAAGTTTTAGGGTACGCTCACAGTGAGCATGGCATGGATGATGAATTAGCAAAGGAGGCTTGCTCCCAATTGTCTAACAAACAAAGGACAAATCTTAGGGATATACTCTTGCCAGCAGTTTAGAATTATTAAAAGCACATTTCAGTTACCCAAACAGAATATAACTTTATTTCTTCCTCAATTCTGGGCCCATCTTATTGTCTGTCAGAAGCATCTAAGTGCCCACTGAGCATGTGATATAATCAGTTGTTTCTGGCATGTGAAAAGAACATGTGATGTCAACTTATTTTATATGTCTATATTGCATACATATATAGCTTATGTTTATACCATACTTATCTTTAGATTTTTACAATTATCTTCTAGATGGATAGATAAACACAACACCAAAGTGCCCTTGGTTTTTTTTCTTGTTTTTTGCTTTATTTTTTTATTTCCTGAGACTAATTGGTACTGGAAAAGATTACTTACAGTGAATCCAATTAAAACAGGGACCAACATTTCATAGGAAATAATGGAAAAAAGTTCTGGCATGTCATATTGAAAAGTGAAATTAAAAATTAGGAAAATAAATAAATATCTTATTTTTTAACAACATTTAGGTTATAATCTCAAACATGCTAATTCCTAGAGTGAATAAAGAATGAATCAAAATATGTGGATTTTTGAGGGAGGTGGGTGGCAGCCGCGTAATTTCCCAACAAAACATGGTCGCATAATGTGACTTGGTTCACATGAAGCTTCTTCCCATTTCCAATTCTTTTTGTCCCTAAAAACAGTAGTATTTTCAGATCAGTATTTCCTTTTGGTCTTTGTTTTTCTGCAGGGCATGTGATATATAGTTGATGCTTTTTTGATAAATCAAGTTTTAGGAGTTTGGAGGTGGTTTTTTTAGTGGGGGATAATTTCCCCTACTCCCAAATTCCATTATAGCTTGATAGGCCATCTTTTATTTCAAGTTTGATTTTTTCCTATAGGATCATAAAGATATCAGATAAATATTATAGAGGCCTCATTAATTTCTTTTCCCCCAAAGTCTTCTCTTGATGCTTTCATATTCAGATCATTTTCTTTGATGAGCCTATAGGTTCATCCTCCTCCATACTCTCTTTAATGGTTAACTGATGTAGCTTTGCCAGATCCACATTTGTTAAAGTTTCTAGAATTGAGATGCGTTGCCTATGGCATTATTCAAAATAAGAGCCTTCAATACCATTTTTTCACCTTATTTTTTCTTTCTTCTGGGTGAACGAAATCTCAGTAAAACATACTTTATGTTGTGACTTGTATTTCTGATAGAGAGCCCTTAGGTTTGTTTTTCAATGGTAAGAGATTTTCATTGTATTAATAAAGGCTTTAGTTTTGGTTTTTAAATTGCCATTTACATTTCTGCCAACAAATCAGAGTTACTGAAATTTTCCTTGATTGAAAATCCCTCTCAGGTTGATTTTTATAAAGATTTATCTGTATTATTAATTATATTTCCATTATCTCTTGACCAATGCTCCTTCTATATGTTGATTTTTACACATTTATTATCATTTTAGATCTGCTTTCAGTATCTGCATCATTATTCAAAATAAATGTAAACAGTTGTTTCTGGTATGTGAAGAGAACATGTGACATCAGCTCATTTGTTACATTTTAAAGGATAGTGGCTTCTAATTTAATATCAGCCACAATTTTTACATTTTAATATGCTTCTGTGATGTATTCTATGTCTAACACTTGACTTTAAGCTCGTGGTTATTAAAAAAGAAAGAAATATTTTCTAATTGCAGAAGAAAGTGTTCATAAATAACCAAAGAAGTCATAAATAGCAAATATGTTTACAACATCTGATATGCAGGTTAGTGACAAAGACATTGATATGCTAGACAGGGATATAAACGCTAATGTTAAAGTATTTAAATTAGTATTGGAGAGGGAAACTAATTTTGAAAGTGTTCAAGTAAAGTGAATAATTTTGTTTTATTATAATTTTTTCTTCTGTATACAACTCATAGGGAGGCATTATGGTGTAGTAAATAGAATGTCTGCTTCAAGTCAGGAAGACCTGGGTTCAGGGTCCCACCTTTTATGCATATATGGACTACTTGACCACTGAGCAAGTTGCTTAACCTCTCAGTGCCCAGTGCAACTCTCAGACTGTAAGATGTAGAATGGTTTTGTTGAGTGATACTGTGAGAAGAAGAATATACATCCCTAGAGAGCGCTGTACAATTATGAAACCACAAATTTGGATTAAAAAAAGATGTTTGTGTGTATGTGTGTGTGTATGTGTATTATATGACATTAAACTCATCGTGCTTAAGTTATAACCTAGGAAATTCTGCTTTATTTTTGCAATATGGCCAGTCTCTTAAATTATTTTGGATTTAATTGAAGGGTGTTCGTGGGCTAGATAGTGTTGGTACCATGTTGTCTTTGAATAAGAACATTTGGAAAACCTTATGTAGCAATAGGAATTTTTTCCTTTTTGGGCATATGAATAGGGTCTCTTCCAAGATAATAGTAGACACCTTAGAAGAGAAATTGCTTCCTGTTTTATAGCTTGATGTTGGTTTTCTTTGGATTATTAATTAGCATCATCTGTAATCGCATTTATCAGTCATATTTGTGGGAGATCGCTTACACATAGAGAGTTTGAGGGCAGCAATTTGGTGTCGGTTTAAAAAAACGTGAATAAAAAGGCACAGTTGGATCTTACGTTCTTTATCAATTTTGTGACTATGAATATGTTGTTTGCTATAGACTGAAAAAACCTTATCTTTTGGTTAATTCAAAATTTTCTAAAACTAAGCAAAGAGTTATATCAGTGGGTAATTACTGATTCTTGGTTGCTGATTTCTTGTTATTATTGTTGTTGTTGTCTTGCCTGATCTTTTCTCTTCTAAAAGGCTTTCCTCTAAGTTGCCATGACCTTTGATTCCTGAATGTCCTTTAAATAGAATCACTTTCAGCACAGATTTCTCCTGGACATAGTACATAGTGGATCAGGTCTACTCTCTCTTCCTAACTTCATCTTATGTGCCATCAGCACTTCTTCATATAGTACATTGGGTTACCAAGATGAAATAGTCCAAATGTGGGGTTTTCACTTTTGTTAAAGATGATAATAGATGATCACTTTTACATTTCTGGCAAATCTGTTGTATTTTGTGTTCATTTGTTGTCTTCTTCGAAGTTTCTTCTATAAAAGCCCTTGGAATGATTTGTCTTAGGTGAATTTGATGCCAAGTTTTCTTCAGGCTCTCATTTTCTTTTGAGCTGGTGTTTTATGAACCAGCACTAACTACAATGTTCTGTCATCTTTGTCAGAAATATATTTAATCTGTACCTTCTACTACTTCCATGTGCCCACTGCACAAATTAAACCAAACCAAACCCATAAAACAAATTCCTTGGTAATTACAGCACCTACCTGTATGGGGATCAAATGGGATAATATATGTAAAGAGCTTAGCGCATTACCAGGTACATAATAGGAATGAATAAATCCTTATTCTGTTCCTGCCCCATTATTATCCCCATTTTACAGATGAAGAAACCGAAGCAGACGGGTTAGACTTGCACAGGGTCACATAGCTAATAAATGTCTGAGGCTAGATTTGAATTCAGATTTTCCAAATTCCAAGTCCAGCATTCTGTGCACTACTCTACTATTATAGAAGTATGTGGAACCTTAGATTTCATCTTGTTCAGTCACCTCATTTTGCAAATGAGGAAGCTAGGGCTCAGAGAGGATAGGCTTTCATTCATTCGTTTATTTATTTTATATTCACGCAGCTACAACTGTCCAGTGAAAAGCACATTCTTTCATTGTTTCTTCTGTGGTCTGCTGTTGATAGGAAACTAAGACATGAATGAATACTTATATTGTATAGTGTTACTTTTTTTTGTGTTAGAAATTCAGTTTTGTTTTTGTTAGGTATTTTCAAATAGTCTCTGGTAAAAACTTTGTATTTTGGAGTTAGGCTTATTAATGCCAGCTTTTTTTTTTTTTAACAATTTCTTGAGACACCTTTTGTATGGCTGTGTGGACACTTGGCATATGTAATAGCTTCTTAAAGATTTCTCTTACAACAACAGCTGTTCATAGAATATTATGTGAATTGAAATTGTCTTTGAACACTTCTGCTTAGAACTTCTAGAAATTCTTAATATGTCTCAAGTATATCTTAATATGATGCTCCATTTGATATTATTGGTGGAATGGCCATGGGAAAGTCATTTAACATCTCATTGTAAAATGTAATGTTTTTACTTACATTTGTTTTTGAAAGATTATTTCTTTTAATGCTATATTATGTTATTTCTGACAGTGGGTTTGAAACTGAACTCAGTGGATCCAACAATGAGTATTGACCTTAAATACTTGGGGGTACAGCTGCCTCTGGCTCCTGCCACTAGCTTTCCTCTCTGGAACCTTGGAGGAACCAATCCTGGCTCTCCGGGTGAGTAAATAGCATTTGAAAACTCAAACACCATTTTTATTATTTAGGGCTAAGGTTGTATATGATATGAATGTAAGATAATATTTCTTGAAAAGCAAGTGAAATCAGATCTTATGTGTAATGGTGTGGATCTTACCAAATGACATGTTAAATAGTTGATTGGAATTTTAGTGACTGACTATATGTTGGGTTCTTTCTTTTTCAGATCCTGGATTTCCTTTTGTTTCCAGGACAGGGAAGACCAATGACTTCACGAAGATCAAAGGGTGGAGAGGAAAGTTTCATAGTGCTTCTTCCTCTAAGAATGAAGGTAACCAAACATTTATTTATTTATTTTTTAGGTACCCAAATTTTTAGAATGAAATAATTATTCCCAGAAAATGTTCTATGAAACATGTAATTTGATACTTATTCTTTCCTGCTCCTTCCCTTATAATTTAAATTGAACCAGAAATTGTGAAAAGAAATACATTTTTCTTATATTTATTCTGTTCCCTTCATTTTTGCAAGTATAGCCTTAGTTCTTATTTTTAAGCAATTCAGAATCAGATTATTGCAACAGCTTTCTTATGGCTGCTTAATTCTTTCCATTACATACATGACAACAAAGCAAGAATCATCTTCTGTGTTTGAAGAAAAATGTTTATTTTTCAATTATCAAGTGTCCCCCCCAAAAAAAAAAAGACCTCTGCCAAAAAGAAAGAAAAAATCCTTGTCACAGATATGTATGGTCAAGCAAGACAAATTCACATATTGACCATTTCCAGAAGTGTGTGTCTCGTACTACATGTTAGTATTATCCTCTCTTTGTCAGGAGATAAGTAGCATTCCTCATCTTTGGTCCTTTGAAATCATAGTTTATCATAGCATTGATCAAAATTCTGAAGCCTTACGAAATTGTTTGTTTTTACAGAGTTTTTGTTATAAATTTTTTTCCTAGTTCTTTTCGCTACTCTCTTTTTCAATTTGTACAAATCTTCACAGATTTCTCTGTAATTATATTTTTCATTATTTCTTATAGCACATTAATGTTCCATTATATTCATCTGTCTTAATTGGTTCAATCATTCTCCAGTTGAATGGTACAGTCTTAGCTTCTACTTTTTTACCACTACAAAAAGCTACTATAAATATTTTTCTCCTCATAGGTCCCTTTCAGGTTTCTTGAATCTCTTTGGGGTATAGGCCTAGTAGTTGGAGAATCATCTACTTTAAGCATGATTTTCATCATGTCAGTTATGTTTTCCTTTAGAACCTTTTAAAAAAATTATTATTTTTACATGTTTTTGTTTTTTTATTTTTGTTTTTTAAAATTAATTTATTTTTAGTTTTTAACATTCACTTCCATAAGCTTTTGAGTTTTAAATTTCCTCCCCTTCCCTTTCTGCCTCCTTCCTCAAGATGGCATGCAACTTGATAGAGGCTTTACATATACGTTCCTGTTAAACATATTTTCCATTAGTCACATTGTAAAGAAGAATTAGAACTAATAGGAGGAACCACAAGAAAAAAGAAACAAAACAGAAGGAAAAAATAGCAAATACTATGCTTCAATCTGCATTCAAACTCCATAGTTCTTTCTCTGGATGTGGATAGCATTTTCTATCATGAGACTTTTGGAGATGTCTTAGATGCTTGCATTGCTGAGAAGAGCTAAGTCTTTCAGAGTTAGTCATCTCACAAAGTGTCTGTTGCTGTGTACTGTGTTCTCCTGGTTCTGCTCACTTCACTCAGCGTCAGTCCATACAAGTCTTTCCAGGTTTTTCTGAAGTCTGCTTGCTCATCACATCTTATAGCATAGTAGTATTTCTTTACATTCATATACCACAACTTGTTCAGCCATTCCCCAGTTGATGGGCATCCCCTCAATTTCCAATTCTTTGCCACTGCAGAAAGAGCTGCTGTAAATATTTTTGTACATGTGGGTCCTTTTCCCATTTGTATGATCTTTTTGGGATACAGCCCTAGAAGTGGTATTGCTGGGTCAAAGGGTATGCACATTTTTATGGCCCTTTGGGCATAGTTCCAGTTTGCTCTTCAAAATGGTTGGATCACTTCACAACTCTACCCACAATGCATTAATATTCCAATTTTCCCCTGTCTTCTCCAACATTTGTCATTTTCCTATTTTGTCACGTTAGCCAATCTCCTAGTGTGATGTGGTGCCTCGGAGTTGTTTTGATTTGCATTTCTCTAATCAATAGTGATTTTAGAGCATTTTTTCATATGACTATAGATAGCTTTAATTGCTTCATCTGAAAACTGCCTGTTCATATCCTTTGACCATTTATCAGTTGGGGAGTGACTTGTCTCTTATAAATTTGACTTAGTTCTCTATGTATTTTAGTAATGAGGCCCTTATCAGAGACACTGGTTGTAAAAATTGTTTCCCAGTTTTCTGCTTCCTTCCTAATCTTGGTTGCGTTGGCTTTGTGCAAAACCTTTTTAGTTTAATGTAATCAAAATTATCCATTTTGCATTTCCTGATATTCTCTATCTCTTGTTTTGTCATAAATTCTTCTGTTCTCCATGAAACTGACAGCTGTTCCCCCAGTTTCCTTATAGTGTCAGCCTTTGTATTTAAATCATGTACCCATTTTGACTTTATTTTGGTATATGGTGTAAGATTTTGGTCTATGCCTAGTTTCTTCTGCCATACTGTTTTCCAGTTTTCCCAGCAGTTTTTGTCAAAGAGTGAGTTCTTATCCTAGAAGCTGGGGTCTTTGGGTTTATCAAACAGTAGATTACTGTAGCCATTGACTACTGTGTCTTTTGTATACTTAAACCTATTCCGTTGATCCACCACTCTGTTTCTTAGCCAGTACCAAGTAGTTTTGATGATTGCTGCTTTATAATACAATTTAAGATCTAGAATGGCTAGAGCCTTTTATAGTAATATCCCAGAATCATTATGAATAAGACTTCTGGAACATCCTATGTAAAATACTTTGTGGTAGGTGTGAATATTCTCATTTAAGAAATGTACAAATGAGGCTCAGAGAAGCTAAGTGATTGCCCATAGTCACATAATTTAGAGAGTAGGACAGCTAGAACATGAACACAGCTTTCATCTCTGCATTCTATTCCTCCTCAAACCTCTCCAAGACACATTTTCCTCACTGAATGAAGAAGCCTTCTCTGGTAGCTTCTTAATCACTCCAGCCACCCCTTATTTGTCTGCCTAGACTTAATTATGTGGATATACTTTTTTTGGTTTGTTATCTCAGTTGTGTGTTCTTATATGTATTGTCGCTTCCATTGAAACATAAACTGAAAGATAGAAACTTTATTTTCTACTTTGACTTAAAAACAAAAGAAAACAAAACTTAATCAGTATGAATGAATGTTTAATTATGGTTTTTTCCCCTGTAAAATAATGAAGTTAAACATTGTTGAACAAGAATATGAAGACATAAAAGATTTGCATATGAAACCATGAATCTCTCTTACAGGTTGTTTTTTAAAGTTTATTAAACTTAACATGATTAAACTAACATGGCACTATTTGTGGTCTTTGTACCCTTTTGAATTTCCTTTGATTTGAGATCCTTATACTTATTTATTCCTTTTTATTCTTTAGTTGCTGTTTTTCTCTTCTTCTTTTCCTAATTAAATTTTTAAAGATGAGAAACAATTTTTTAAAAATAGTGTTTTAATTTAATAATGCCTTGTAGATTACCCCTGGCCTCCTTTTTCTCTTGTGCCTCACTCTTAGAAATGCTAATTCTTTAAGATGATGGAGAGGATAGAGTATCAGAGGAGTTTTCTTGTTTCTGATTGTGCAGTTTTTTACTTTCATTTGCAGAGGACAATTTATTTTCTCATTTGCCATGACATCTTCTCTCTGGGTCCATGCCTTCACACTTTTATGGGTGCCAGTTGCCTTCAGGAGTTCTGTTTCCCCTTCTCCTGAAGTAGGATAACTGGTCTCTTTAAGCGCCAAATCCCTGTATATTATACTTACTGTAAGCTCCTATTTCCCATTATCTAATATCTCTCTTCTCCTCATGGGAACATCCTTCAGTTGGATCCTTTCCCACAGATGAAATGAGATTTCTTCCACTTTTTTAAAATTTGTTTTTTGGTGAGATAATTGGGGTTAAGTGACCTGCCCAGGGTCACACGACTAGTTAGTGTCAAGTGTCCGAGGTTGGATTTGAACTCACGTCCTCCTGACTCCAAGGCCAGAGCTCTGTCCACTGGGCCACCTAGTGGCCACCCTTCCACTTATTTTAGTCCCTTCTTTTGCCTTCTCAGTTGTCCTATAAGCCTTCTCACCCCAAGGTGGCTGGTGGGTAAAAGGGCTACTGAGCGAGTAAGGGATTTGTCTTCACTGCTTTTAGTTCATCATTCTTGGTGTTTTAGACTATGGATAATTAAAATTACTTTATCTGTTGTGCATAATTCTTATTTCAAAAAGATTTGAGAGGTCATGAGGGTCAGAGAAAGTCTTGTCTTCTATCTTGTTGGTCACATGACCAGGAAACCCCATTTGAATTTTATTCACTCTTCTGCCTATTTTTACATGTTTCGTAGATGACTTTGTCTTCTTGTTTTGTATCACTGTCATTGCCACCCATTTCTTTCATTTCCCCCCCCCCCGCAAAAAAAAAGTGCTTTTAATAAATACAGCCAAGGAAAGGAGATTCACCCTTTGGCTCATTCTCATTGTGCACCTCTGGTCCATTACTTTTTCACCTAGAGGTAGGAGGCATGCTTCATCAGTCTTGTAGAACCATGATTGTCATTGCATTGACTGGAATTCTTAAGTCTTTTAAGGTAGTAAGTGACAAACTTAGAATGGCATGATAGAGAGGTGGGGAGTCTTTGTTTTGATAACAAAAGCTCTCTGTAATTTTGAGTTAAAGTATATTTTCCTCAACTTTTGAAGACTTTATATCTGCATTGGTAGAGGAATTCCTTTCACTGATGAAATGGCAGATCCCTGAGTGTTCAGGGCATTTTACTAAATTATTGGCATGCAAAAATAGACATGATAACTCTCAGATCATAAGCTCCCTGAAATAAAAGTTTATATTAAGTTCTATTTTGGTATGGGCATGGCTTATTTCATATGCCCAATGTCCCGAACGTTTATGGGCAGGTAGGGGAGATCTCCTTCTCTTTCCCTCCCTTCCTCCTGTTCACACATGCACATGGGACTGTTCACAATCTTCAGAAAATTGGTGATAGAAAGGAGTCTCTTTGACATGTGAGAGACAATTTGAGGAAATATGTAGAAGAGAGAGCAGGAGGAGTCAGTGAAAGATAATACTATGAAAACTAGAAAGTTAGGTTAGAGCCACATAGTAGAGAGCCTTGAATAAACGAATCTAGAATTTGAATAGGCATTGAGGATTCCTTTAAAGGCTTTTGAGAAGAGTTGTGATGAAATTAGTGTGGTGAATTATGAAGATGATTTGAATTGCTTTTTTAAGCGTGAATTGGAAAAGGAATACACAGGAGCAAGAAAATGATACATTTTTTTTTCCTTTTTGGCGAGGCATTTGGGTTAAGTGACTTGTCCAGAGTTACACAGCTAATGAGTGTCAAGTGTCTGAGGCCGAATTTGAACTCAGGTGCAACTGATTACAAGGCTGGAGCTCTATCCACTGCGCCACCTAGCTTCCCCAAAAGATAGAAGTTTTAAAATGCATGGGTTATAGGATTAGTCATTTTTTGTACTACTCTTTTTTTTCTTCTTTCTCAGAATATCTTGTCCAGTAAGTAATGTTCTATTCCAGTGTTGCTCAAAGGCTTGCTTTTTTTATAGTGCATTTTCCAGGATTTATAACTGTACTTTTCTCAAAAATGTGTGTTTTAATTTTAGGTGGCAGTTCAGAGAGTTCCCTGAAGAATCGCTCTGCCTTCTGTAGTGACAAACTTGACGAATATTTAGAAAATGAAGGCAAGCTAATGGAAACGAGCATGGGCTTTTCATCAAATGCTCCCACGTCACCTGTGGTATATCAACTACCAACCAAGAGTACTAGCTATGTACGAACATTAGATAGTGTTCTAAAGAAGCAATCTATAGTTACCCCATCCACATCTTACTCTTCGAAGCCTCATCCTGTACCTTCTGTCCCTCGTAAGACCAAGTCTCTCACTAAACAAGCAGTTTCCAGTGGCCGAACTAAATCATCCTATAAACCCATTTTGCCGTCTCCTGTTTCACCAAAGCAGAAATCATCTCATTTAGCTCCAGGAGATAAGGCCACCAAGACTTCCCCAAATAGCATGTTGGAAAGTCAGGGGGAAAACTTCATTGGACCAACTGTGGATGAAAATGTGTTGCCAAAGCAGATCAATCTTAGGCAGGCACATCACCAACAGCACCCAGCAACTCGTCCTCCAGGACTGTCTAAATCTCAGGTGAAGCTGATGGACTTGGAAGATTGTGCCCTGTGGGAAGGGAAACCACGGACCTACATCACTGAGGAGAGAGCAGATGTGTCTTTAACGACTCTGCTTACAGCTCAAGTATGTACTTTTCACTTTCCAGAAAGTATAAGCTTAGGTGAGAAGGGATGTGATTAGTTTTTTGTTTATTTGTTTTTGGTGAGGCAGTGGTTAAATGACTTGCCCAGAGTCACACACCTAGTGAATATCAGGTCCTCCTGACTCCAGAGCCAGTGCTCTATTCTCCGCGCCACCTAGCTGCCTCCTGATTAGTGAAGGGAGGTTGGAGTGAGGCTTCTCAACAAAAAGAATCAGTTAGTTCATAGCATTTAACTTACTTTATATCTTAGTTACAATTACAAATAAGCTAAGGAGATATACACGGGTTATAGATCTCCTCCCAGCAGAGGGAGACAGTATAATTGTGCTTTTGAATAACATCCCTCTCCTGTGTTAAGGTAGCTTGCTATTCTGAAATCTCCAACTTCAGTCCCCAGAATGTGGATAAGTACATTTTCTGATCTTGTTAAAACAGCTTTGAAAAGTTCTGCTTATAAGGTACTAAATCTCAGAAATTTAATTAAATTTATGACTCTAGGGAGAAAAAGGTAACATTTTGGTTTAAAATTTTTCAATAAGAGTTTTTAAATCGGTACTAATATATACAGTGGTCTTTGGGTACTTGTCAATTGACATTTGATCATATCTTTAAAAAAAAACAATAAAAACAATGAACATAGCACCTTCCACTTTTAATCTTTCGTTTCTTAAATGGAAAATTAGTCCAAAATCTAAGAGGAAGGAGAATCTGATGAGTCTGTTAACCTGGGTTTTATCAGAATCCCAGGGGGACTAAATTCTTTAACTGAAAATCTTTTCATTCAGATGTTGCAACTTTTCTTTGTAGGAAATATTTGTAATTGATAGTCATCCCTAATGCCTAATGAGGAACAAGGGTGTAGTTTATTGATTCTTAAACCCCTAATGCTCCCATTCTACATATGTTGTATTCTCCCTCATCTCTCTTACCTGTTATGTAGAACTCTGCGTGCGTGCGTGCGTGTGTGTGTGTGTGTGTGTGTGTGTGTGTGTGTGTGTTTTCAATTGAGAGTAAGTCCATTCTTGTTGATAAGTTTAATAAGAACATTCTCCTACTTGTCTGTAACCATGAATTCTTGAGAGATATTGCTCCTTGCCCTGGCTATGCAATCACTTTGTCCTTTGAGTTCTAGATGAAAATCTAGATGGTAGTTTTTAGAGATTCTCAAATGAAGAATGGTGTTTCAACGTAGTTATAATGTGGAACGTATTAAAGTTGTAGTTGTGATATTGATGTAGATTATGTGAGACTGCATTTAGTGATGGTTAGGGGTGATGTTAGCAAAAAATTTCAGCCGAATTATAAGTGTTTACTTTAATTTTAGGCCTCTCTCAAAACTAAACCCATCCACAAAATTATCAAGAAACGAGCTCCCCCCTGCAACAATGACTTCTGCCGACTGGGCTGTATATGTGCTAGTCTAGCCTTGGAGAAACGCCAACCTGCTCATTGTCGTCGGCCTGACTGTATGTTTGGCTGCACCTGTTTGAAAAGAAAAGTTGTGCTTGTTAAAGGAAGATCCAAGAAAAAGCGTTTCCTGAGGAAGACTGCTCGAAGAGACTCAGTATTTTCTGGCACCCTTGAGGATCAGAAAAAGGAAGGAGGAAAAGAAGTGACCAGGGAGGAAGATCGGTTGAGAGAAAAAAAGAAGAGAAAGAAGGTGGAATATAGTGAGTATTAATTGGAGTTGAGCAGAGGGGGGGTTTGTGTTATTTGAGAAATCTTTATGAGAATATTTATGTATGTTATGGTTATTTCAGAATTTATCAGTGCATTAGTAATCTATATGATTCTTTTCCACTCAGTGGATTGATGATTTCTGATTTGGAAATTCTTTCCATCAATTCATGTTGCATCCCATCCATACTTGGCCATCCTGTGCATATCTTCTCATAAGTTTGACATGAAATCTACCTGGCTTACCAGAGATCTGCTTTGATTTTTCCTGATATCTTTAGGGTACCGGTAGAATAATCTGGCTGTCCACCTATCATCTGTTGATTAACTCATCTTCTCTTCCTATGATTCAGTTTCTTGATGATATCTTTTACTCATGTTTTTCATAAGCAGCCTGTTTATATCTACCATGCAATTTTTCATTGCCCTCTGTATGTGAATTCACTTTTAATTCTTTGGAGACTTGTATTCCATAAATTTCAGTACTATATATCCAGTATTAGGCATCAAATTTTAAAATAGTTCTTTGTTTTATTTAGTGAGTTTTCTGTCTTTGCTTTCTATCATGCCATTGAGTTATGGTTCTGGTCTTTCATTAGGTGGGCAGAAAGTCCGAAACAGTTTGATTGGCTCAAGGTCAGTTTACATTTCAGAGACCATTATATTGGTTATTTTTGAATGTGTTTTTTCTCTTTCTCTCATTAAGGTAATATGCAATTTAAATAAACAACACACGTTAAGCACTTATGAAGTGTAAGACATTGTGTTAGGTTCTGAGAGTATAAATAGAAACAAAAAAGGGTCCCTTCCCTCATATATGTGTACTCTTGGCATTTTATTGAGTTTACAATAAACCTGGTTTCGATTTACACTTGGGTTTATTCTCTTCCCTTTTCTGTCTTTATAATTAGTTCTCCATTAACCATTATGATAACAAGTTGATATAACCAGCTTCAATTTATTAGAAAATTTAGTTTACCCAGGCTCTTGCTATTGCTTGTCATTCTTAGATGTAATACGACTCATATTAATTAATATGACACCTCATCCAGAGCAAGTGAAAAATCAAACTTGTCCATTTTAATGTACTTCTTGGTCTTTGGGATTATTTCTGGATTCAGTTTTCTATCCCATTCCTTTTACTCATTAGCATGACTAATAGACAAATTTAATAACAAACAAATAAAACCAAATAACAAACAACAGTGTTTGTTAAGCACCTTCTGTGTGTTAGACACTGCACTGAGTCTAGGGAGACAAAACAAAATTGTTACTGTCCTTAAGGAATATTTTACTTTTTATGTTGACTTTACTGGGTGATAGAGACATGTACCTTAATAGATAGAGAGCTAAAGTATTTAGTTAGCATTTATTATATGCCGGGCTTGGTGCTAAGTATAGGGTGTAGGTAGAAGCAAGAGAAACCCAGCATTCACAGAGCTTACATCCTAATGGGAGAAGACAATAACTAAAGGGGAGCTGGAAAGGAATGGAGGTTTAGGTGGAATATGCATGCTTTGTCATGGTGAGGAGATGGCCAGGAAATGGTATGGAGGCTGTAATCCTGGCAAGATAAGGTGAAAGTCTGCCTTTCAGAGCTTGGGGAACCAAGATTGGGGTTGGGGAGTGGTAAATAAAGATGATGGCTGGAGTGTAAGCATTGTGGTGAAGGGATGTGTAGGAAGTGGCATACAGGGTTGACAGCATAAGACGGAAACTTGGCTATCAGTTGGGGGGCTTAGGGATGCCCCAGTTCCAAGTTTGGAATAGGAGGTATGGGGATGTGGATGATGGCTGAGTGTGTGGCAACATGGTGAGACATGGTTCGGAAGTGGTATAGAGGCCATCATCTGTAGATGAGTAAAGAGAAAGTATGTAGTGGGTTTTGGTAGAAGAGTAGAGGAAGAGCAGTGACAGATTTGGGAAACCCATCTTGGATTATTGCTCCTATCGTCCGCCTCCTTTGTTCTTCCAATTCCTGTGCTACTAAATGTGCTGGAGAAAATTGTGGAATGGTTAGGGTATTTTTGCTGTATAATCTCCCCTTGTTGCAGCAGTGCACTCTTTTTACATTTATGTTACTGATTCTCTATCCACTCTCTGCTGTGGCTGTTCAAAACCTTTTCATCCTTCCTCAGGTCTCTCGCACCAGTGCCCTCTCTTATCCTCTCAGTTGAGAACTTTACTTCATACTTTCCCCCCAAAATTGAATCCATTCAATGAGAGCTCTCTCTTCTCTTCTCCACTTCTCATATCACTTATATATCTTCTCCCATTGTTACCTCCTTCACCTCTGCCTCAAATGAAGTGGCTCGTTTCCTTCTCATGTTCTTTAGCAAATTGCCCACACCTTTATTCCCTTTCTTTCTAATTTTCAGTCTCTTGTCTACTGGCTCCTTCCTTGAAGCCTATAAGTATGCCAATATCTCCCTCATCCTTTAAAAAAACAAACTTGTTCTAACTATCACTCCTAGTTATTTCCCTTTATCTTTCCTCTCTTTCTTGGTTAAGCTTTTTTTGTTTTAGGTAATTGGGGTTAAGTGACTTGCCCAGGGTCACACAGCTATTAAGTGTCAAGTGTTTGGTCTGAGGCTGGATTTGAACTCAGGTCCTCCTGACTTCAGGACCTGTGCTGTATCCACTGTGCCGCCTAGCTGCCCCTTGGTTAAGCTTCTTGAGAAAGCTGTTTATACTAGATACCCCTCCTTCTATCCTCTCATTTGCTGCAACTACTCTATCCAAGATCATCAATTATCTTATTAAAAAATTAACAAATATTTATTTTCTCTTCTTCCTACCTTCTTCCACATGTTTGTTAGGTTTTTAAAAATTTTATTAATTTATTTTGATTTATCAGCAATCACTTCCATAACCCCAGAATCCTTCTAAAAATACACATCAGGCAAAACAAATTCTTATATTGGTCATGTCTAAAAATAGAAATCTTATCCAGCATTTTGAGTCTTCTGTTAGGAGGTCGATAGTACTCTCTATTATTGGTGTTCTGGAATGGTACCTGTTCATATTATTGTTTGGGCTAATTAAGTTTTTCAGAGTTGATTGACTTCACGTTGTTGTTGTTGCATAAATTTTTCTTGTGATTCTGCTTACTTCATTTTGCCTTAGTTCAAATAAGACTTCCTAGATTTCTCTGAAAATGTCTCCTTAGTTTTTTTATGGTACAATAGTATTCCATTACATTCATATATTATAATTTGTTTAGCTGTTCTTCAGTGATGGATGCTTCCTTAGTTTCTGATTCTTTGCTTTGATAAGAAAGATCTTCTATAAATATTTTTATGCATATGGGTCCTTTTCCTCTTTCTTCATCTCTTTAGGGCATAGATGTAGTAGTGGTATTGATGCATCAACAGATAAACACAGTGACTTTTAGGGGCTTATTTCCAAATTACTTTTTTTTTTAAATTTAATTTTAGTTTTCATCATTCATTTCCATAAGCTTGAGATTTAAATTTTCTCTCCTTCCCCAAGATGGTGTGCAACTTGATAGAGGCTTTACATATACGTTCCTGTTAAACATATTTTCACATTAGTCACATTGTAAGGAAGAATTAGAACCAATAGGAGGAACCGCAAGAAAGAAGAAACAAAACAGAAGGAAAAAATAGCAAATACTATGCTTCAATCTGCATTCAAACTCCATAGTTCTTTCTCTGGATGTGGATAGCATTTTCTATCATGAGACTTTTGGAGATGTCTTAGATGCTTGCATTGCTGAGAAGAGCTAAGTCTTTCAAAGTTAGTCATCTCACAAAGTGTCTGTTACTGTGTACTGTGTTCTCCTGGTTCTGCTCACTTCACTCAGCGTCAGTCCATACAAGTCTTTCCAGGTTTTTCTGAAGTCTGCTTGCTCATCACATCTTATAGCATAGTAGTATTTCTTTACATTCATATACCACAACTTGTTCAGCCATTCCCCAGTTGATGGGCATCCCCTCAATTTCCAATTCTTTGCCACTGCAGAAAGAGCTGCTGTAAATATTTTTGTACATGTGGGTCCTTTTCCCATTTGTATGATCTTTTTGGGATACAGCCCTAGAAGTGGTATTGCTGGGTCAAAGGGTATGCACATTTTTATGGCCCTTTGGGCATAGTTCCAGTTTGCTCTTCAAAATGGTTGGATCAGTTCAAAACTCCACCCACAATGCATTAATGTTCCAATTTTCTCCTGTCTTCTTCAACATTTGTCATTTTCCTATTTTGTCACGTTAGCCAGTCTCCTAGGTGTGATGTGGTACCTCAGAGTTGTTTTGATTTGCATTTCTCTAATCAATAGTGATTTTAGAGCATTTTTTCATATGACTATAGATAGCTTTAATTGCTTCATCTGAAAACTGCCTGTTCACATCCTTTGACCATTTATCAGTTGGAGAATGACTTGTCTCTTATAAATTTGGCTCAGTTCTCTATATATTTTAGACACTGGTTGTAAAAATTGTTTCCCAGTTTTCTGCTTCCTTCCTAATCTTGGTTGCATTGGCTTTGTGCAAAACCCTTTTAATTTAATGTAATCAAAATTATCCATTTTGTGTTTCATAATGTCCTCTTTCTCTCTTGTTTTGTCATAAATTCTTCTGTTCTCCATGAATCTGACAGGTGAGCTATTCCTTGCTCTCCTAGTTTCCTTATAGTGTCAGCCTTTATATTTAAATCATGTACCCATTTTGACTTTACTTTGGTATATGGTGTAAGATTTTGGTCTATGCCTAGTTTCTTCTGCCACACTGTTTTCCAGTTTTCCCAGCAGTTTTTTTTTTTAAGGCAGTTAGGGTTCAGTGACTAGCCCAGGGTCACACAGCTAGTCAAGTGTTTTTTCTGAGGCCAGATTTGAACTCAGGTCTTCCTGACTTCAGGGCCGGTGCTCTATCCATTGCGCCCCCTACCTGCCCCTTCCTAACAGTTTTTGTCAAATAGTGAGTTCTTATCCCAGAAGCTTGGGTCTTCCAAATTACTTTGTAGAATGATTGTACCA